TTTTTTTATAAATATATTCTATAAATCTTCAAATATTAAATATATTTATTTAATTGTAAGTTAATATGTAAAATTTTCTGGGGTACATTTTTGTGAGAGTTTTTAGGGTTAAGATTAGGGTTTAGTGTTAGGGTTTATAATAAAAGAGTATAAGTAGGTTTTAAGGATTTAAATCGAGACCCTAAATTTCAGCATCAGTTGTCACATTAATTACGTATAAAAAATTTTTTTACCAGTGTAAACAATATAAAAAGTTTGTATAAACGGTATTTTTTAATAGAAATAAACAGCCAATTAAAGCAACCTTACCAATACTCTAATGATTACTAACTAGTTAATTTGCTTGTAGATTCCTTACTCTTTGCTTTCAATATTTCACTTTTATCATATTTAGATTATACTAGCTTTTAAGCCTTATACTGCACTAATTAAACACTAGAATTTAGTTCCGGTGTTTGGAATCGAAACCTGAAACCTATAGTTTTTATAAAATTCTGAAACAAACTAAAACTATTTGTTTTCTAAAATCACCTTGGTTTCATTCTTTGAATTATCTAACTAATCAGACTGCAGTTCCGAAGACAACGCGTAGTTCTCGAAGAGTTGGGATGAAACTGATGAAATTTCAATAACGTTTAGAATTTATGGTGTTAACCTGTTTATACCTCTAAAACAAACAGGAACAAGCTGTATCAATACGAGGATTGATAAGTGATTTACAGCTTAATGCTGATAATAATACAATGATAATAGAGGATTTTATTATAGGCAATGAAAGAGGCAAAAGAAACCGTATATTAATATATGAAGATATTAATATCGGGTGTAGTTTATTAATAATGATATTTATTACAGTATATGAAGACATTACTATTCGTATCTAATTATCTAGACTATCTTGTCTGCTTTTCAGTAGGAAATTCGAGGAATATTTATACATAATCACTAATACTAATTCTTACTTTTAATAGATAATCGAAACAATAAATAATAGTAAAGAAAGATTTATAAAATATAAATAGAAATAAAAAGTAAACGTTATAATAACTATTCTGGCAGAATTCGTAGAAGCTAATAAAATCTTGTAACACTACTGGTACTTAAACAATCTAATAGTTAATTATTCCAAATTTATGATAGGGCTATCAGTAAGACGAATGAACTAATATAACATAATAATTATGCACTATACAGGTATCATAGTATAACTATTGTAGCAACAAACATGACATTATACAAATTGAAAAATTCGAAAGTCCAGTAAAACTTTCAGGATAATTGAGATATCTGATATTCCCCACAAGCCAAAGTGTAGGCATAAGGAATATTGAATGAGTTTTAATTTTGACCGATATATAGAACATATCATCTAACACCATAACCAACACATAAATAATTTAAATATTACCACCAATGACATTCATGTAATATTTGTTACCTGTTGGAAACTAACCTATCACAACCATTTTGAAACTTTTGTAAATGGTATTATTGTGTAGTACCTGTATACTCATTCTTAGAAAAGACGTACGAGTATTTCCAAAAATTAGAAGTAATATTAGTGCAGTTTAACTTACCTTAGTATAAAAATACTATTTGCCGATTGATCTTTAGTATTCGATATATCAAAACACTAGGAAATTTTGCTGAGTTAGGGAAACAAATTTTGTCAATAGCGACCTATAGTTATTGCTTTCAAATAAACCCATTAGAGCTATATCATTAATCAACTGATTTTTTTTTATCAGTACCTTACCCCTCTCTCAGATTTAATATATAACTGATCAGGTTCTCTATATATAAATTCAATTTTTTTAACCCCCCCCTAGAAAATTACCTGATTTTTGACAGCTCCCTTATCTACAATATTCATGGAATTATTAGATACTATTGGAGATCAGTTAGAATCAATAACTAAACCTGATGAACCGATAGTTCTTCCTTCATCCAAAACCTCTATATTAGATAATTATCACTTAACCTGTTTATTTAAAACACCTCTATTATCTCCAGTTCAGTTTAAAGATAAAGATTTCAGCTTAGAATTACTATTTACACTACCTATTCCCTACAACATGGCAACTACGCAACATATCCTTGACTATCTTCAGGCTAATTAAAAAGAGAGTATCTTATTAAAAGTTGATCTGTTTTATGGAGACAGAACGCAAGACCCCCAAATATGGCTTGATAGTTTCATAAAAGCTGCCTTAGCTAACAACTGGAATAGTAAGAGGAAAAGAGAAATTTTTCTAGCCTTCATGAGAGATAATGCTGACGAATAGCAACAAACCTATTACAATACTCATGCAGTTACTAACAATACTGATAATAATTGAAATGGTATTATAGATATGTTCAAAACCAAGTTTTGTATATAGCGATAGATGAATAAATGGCTACAAGACCTTAATAACCTGAAACAACAACTCAGCAAAACTATTGATACCTACTACAGTAAATTCAAACGTTTGATTAAGAGAGTCAGAACTAGTGGAAATCTCCAAGACACTTAAAAACTATACTACTTTAAAAAAGGGATAAGACCTGAAATGCTTCCTTTAATCCTTATTCATAACTCTGGTGACTTTAATGATATCCTTAACCTTGCCCGAATCCATGAACAAGGAACTGATTTCATTATGAATAATGATCCAGTCTAATCAATTAGTCCTAAGAATTATGAAAAAGAGATTGACCAATTAACTAAACAAATGCAACAAATGGCTTTAAACTATGCTAATATTGTTTCTGCCTTAACCATACAAACTGAGAGGCCCATCACTAGTTCATCCCAAAATCTTCATAACTCTGACAATCTAAGCCTAATTCATTCAAGTGTTTTAGATATGAAGAACCTGGTCACTATGCTAAGAATTGTTTAGCTGAAAAGTTACCACGAAACAGACAACAATATAGAATTCTAAAGCATTCTAACTATGACTACAGCAACCATCATGACAATAATAATTATAACTCATATAATAAACAAGATAAAAATATAAACTTTATTGAGACAGAAGATGATAACGAATGGGAAGAGGTATATATTCATAATATCCCTAGGCCTCAACCATACAACAAAAATCAGAAGGAACAAAAAGAAAAACAAAAGCAATTAGAGTCTCAGAAAGAACACGCCCTAAGGAGTAAAATGCCTAAAAACCCAGAAACGGAGGAAGTTCCAATAGACTTAGAAGATAATGAACCTCCACTATCCCAAATAGTAAAAGAACTGTGAGAAAAAGATTACCGTCCATAGTGAATAATCTTAAGTCCTATGATATATCAGAGGATATATTGAATATTCAAGCTAATTCTACCTAAATCAATGGCTAAAAGACTCTAAACAATAACATAACCTAGCTAAAATTTTAAAACAAACTAAACCTCCTAACATCGAAGCTAACTATATAAAAGCTAACAACAAACAAAAAACTATTGCTATGTGATATCACATTGAATCAAAGGAACCCCCGTAGATACTATCCTAGACTCAGGAGCTGCCATTAGTATTATCACTCAAAAACTAATGGAAAAACTTAAGTTAGCCATGAACAGACTATCTAAAACAGTAGTGATCACTGCAAATGGTAATCGCACTAAGGCTCTTGTGATTGTTAGTAATGTAAAAATTACTCTACATGACATAATCATACTAATAGACCTCTAAGTAATCGAGTCCCAAGATGAAACCTTATTATTAGGCACTGATTGGTTTAGCAAGTCTAGAGCTAACCTAGACTTTAATAAAAATACTATGCACGTCAGATATTTAGGGAAACAAGCTACCATAAGTGCTACCCATATAGTTAATAGACCTTTGGCCCAAGAATTTGAAGAGTTTACAGATAAGGAGGAATAGATTGACGAATTGGAGAATGAAGAGGAGGAACAAGAAGCCTTCTTCACGAATGGATAGATCTCTGAAGATGAGAAAATTCTTTATAATCTATGAGTAGACAAAAACCTAGCCACCTACCTAACAGAATCATCTACACAACCACAGGAAAGTGGGATACTATTGTTTAACGCCAACTATAACCTATTCCCTGAACAGAAAACTCAAACAGAAAAATTGTTAAATACCATAATATTTTCACACAGAAAATTAGTAAAAACAGTCAAACTATAGGGCTAAAACAAACTAGCCTGGTCCAACATAAGATCAATACTAGAAGTGCTAGGCCTATTAAACAAAGATATTATAATACCTCCCATAATGAACAGGAATTTCTCTAGCAAGAAATTTAGAAAATGAAGAAAACAAATATTATTTGTGAAACTCAAAGTCCATAGGCTGCACCTGTAGTAATCGTAACAAAAAAGAACAATAAAAAATGGCTCTGTACTGATTACAGAAAACTTAATTAAGTGACCAAAAAGGATATATATCTTTTATCTAACATTGACGAAATTTTATTTCTGTTTGATAGCGTGAAATGGTTCTCTAGTCTTGATCTTGCTAGTAGATATTGGCAAGTGGCAGTTAGAGAAAGTGACAAGAAAAAAACAGTATTTATCACTAAATTCAGCATTTATGAGTTTAACGTAATGCCTTTTAGCTTATACAATACCCCTTCGACCTTTTAGTGTTTAATTAACTACATTCTAGAACTATTTATTAACCGATTCCTAGTTGTCTACCTAAATGATATCACCATTTATTCCAAAACTTTTGACGAACATTTGGACCACTTACGACAAGTTTTTGTCAGGATCTCAGAAGCGAATCTTAAGTTAAATTTGGAAAAATATTTATTTTTCCTCAAACAAATTAAATTTCTAGAGCACATAATTAGCACAGACAGTATCTAACTAGATGAAGAAAAAATTAAAAAAATTAAAAACTTTTCTATACCTATTAATCTTAGACAAATTAGAGGGTTTCTTAGTCTTACCTCATATTATAGGAAATTTATTAAAGGATTTTCCAAGATCACTAAACCTTTAAATAAGTTGTTGAGAAAAGACGAACTATATCATTAGACCGAACTCCAGGACCAGACCTTCAATACTTTAAAAAATTACCTAATTACAGCTCCAATTCTACAGTATTCTGATTTTAATTAACCATTTTATTTATACATGAACACCTCAGGATCTGGGTTAGGTGCAGTGCTTTCTCAGTTAGATAACAACAAGAAAGAGTATATTATCACCTATGCCAGCCATAGTTTAAATAAAACAAAACAAAATTACTTTACCGCTGAATTGGAATGCCTTGTAGTTGTATGGGCTGTTGAACATTTTCATCAATATTTAGGCTCTAAACAGTTTTTCCTCATTACAGATCATGCTGCGTTAAAATGGTTACGCACTTCAAAATTAAAAGAAAAACATGCTAAATAGATTTTAAGACTAGAACCTTACAATTTTACTATCATACATA